AAAAAAAAAAAAAAGAATTATAAATTAAATACCAAAATTATATATATATTTCTATTTCTTTTTTTTTTTTTTTTTGAGACAGAGTCTCATTTTATCACCCTCAGAAGATGTTGTGGTGTTATAGCTCATAGCAACCTCAAACTCTTGGGCTCAAGCAGTTCTCTTGCCTCAGCCTCCCCAGCAGCTGGAACTCCAGGTGCCTGCCACAGAGCCTGACTAGTTTTTTATTTCTTATTTATTTATTTATTTATTTTTGAAGACAGAGTCTCACTCTGTTGTCCTGGGTATAGTTCCATGGTGTCATAGCTCACAACAACCTCAAACTCTTGGGCTCAAGCAATCCACTGCCTGGGTCTCCCAGAGTGCTAGGATTACAGGCATGAGCCACTGAGCCTGGCCTTACCAAAATTATTTAATTACACCAGCTTCCAAATAAAATTCTGCTACATTTTGTGCCTGAGCACATAGAGTTTTGTTGTTATTGTCACTGATGGTGTGAGGTTAACCATGTCACAAAAACTATCACTTATAAAATTATCAGCTATATAATTATTAGACAAAATACAGTATCTAGCTCTATAAATAAATAATTCATTAGAACTTGAAGGGGTTGAGAATATGGAAGATGTTTCTGCTGAAATAGGGACCGAGTGAAATACCTCCTCACTGAATGCTGTTATTTCCACATATCAGTTACAAATATTAGGAAAGAAAACTCTGAGTAGATTATAGTCTGATACATAATGGCATAATGATAGCTGTTAAATAGAGACACTACATGTAATTATTAAATTTTGTATGAGCCAGTTGCTTTGCAGTCTCTCTAGAGCCAAAATAAAAGTGTTTTAAGCCTCTTCCATTTTTCCATCTGACTCTGGGATGCACTGATTTCCCCAGCAAGAAAATTTCTCCTAAATGGCTCTAAACGGAGAGAAGTGGGACAAAGAGAAGACAAATACAATGATATATAACAAATAGCTTGGATAATACATGAAATAAATAGCAAAGTAATTTTTCCAGAACTGGCAAGATGCTCACGGAACCCTGATTCACATATGCATTTAACAAACAATACACCAAGTATGTGTAAGTCTGTGCATCTAGCAGAGAATATAGGTGCTATCATTTAGACTTACAGAATATAGGTGTTCAATAAAATGTGAAAGCTGTTAGTAGCATCTTCCATCCAAAGGAGAAATCCTATGGAATATTCCAGACCTACATTAAATGGGATTCTACTTGAAAGGATCCAGTGATAAGAAATATGCTATGCCACTTTTAGATGGAGTTATGATTATAAAGGTAGAGATAGTGTGATAACATATACCTCCCTGAAATTTCCAAATATTGGTCCTTTTTTTTTGTTTGTCTATGAAGCTATATAAAAAGTATATCGTTCATAGGCCCGGCACAGTGGCTTACTTCTATAAACCTAGCTCTCTGGGAGACCGAGGTGGGTGAATTGCCTGAGCTCAGGAGTTAAAGACCAGCCTGAGCTAGAGGAAGAGCAAGAGAAAGACCCCATCTCTAAAAATAGCTGGGTGTTAGGCAGTGTCTGTGGCTCAGTGAGTAGGATGCTGGCCGGCCGCATAACTGAAGGTGGCGGGTTTGAACCTGGCTCTGGCCAAACTGCAACAAAAAATAGCCGGGCGTTGTGGCAGGTGCCTGTAGTCCCAGCTACTTGGGAGGCTGAGGCAAGAGAATTGCTTAAGCCCAGAAGTTGGAGGTTGCTGTGAGCTGTGTGACGCCACAGCACTCTACCAAGGGCAATAAAGTGAGACTCTGTCTTGGAAAAAAAAGCATATGGTTTGTATCTAAACATCACATTTTCTGACATCTGTAACAGATAATCTGATTTTCTTAAATCTTGCTTTCTTCGCCTGTAGTGCCAGCTACTGGGAGGCTGAGGCAAGATAATCGCTTAAACCCAAGAGTTTGAGGTTGCTGTGAACTGTGACATAGTGAGACTCTGTCTCAAAAAAAAAAAAAAAAATCTTGCTTTCTCTAGGTTAAATATATTCAGTTCTGAAAATTAATATTCCTATGACTCAGTTTTTAGGTAGTCCAGTATCTGGTTTAACTTTTTCTAGATTCATCCAAGTTTGTCAACATCATTTGTAAAACAAAGTGCTGACATTTAAACACAGTACTTGTTTTGTCCACTTGTACTTTTCTTTCTCCAGTTAAGGTATAGAGTCCTAAAGAATTTGGAGGAGAGTAGATTCCTTGTAATGAATAGGATGAATGAGAATCTGGAGGATTTTAGTAGTAAGTTAATAAAGGTCTATGTTTTTTTCTTTTAATAAGAAAAAATAAAAATGCCAGGACATTCAGACTTGAAACTGATTATTTAATTCATTGTCAAAATAAGAAATAAAGTAGAATATGGCATAATTTTGAATAATCTATGGGAAGGAAGAGTAGGGGCTCTATTTGGTTAGATTCCAAGAACATTTCCCATGAGGGCAATGTTTTGGACTTCGGAGAAGGAAAGATAATCACAACATACTTTTTGGCTCTTGAGTGAATTGTATTTACATAGTTATTTTAAAATTAAGTAATTTCTTGTGATTTCAATGTGGTAGAAATGATACTTTTCAATCAAAACTAATTTTTTTTTACCCATGTATAAGTGAACAAAATTTTAATTATGCTTACTTCATGCAAAAATCATTTACCCTGGCAGTACACAAGCAAAATTCTACGTGAAAGAAGCTGGCAGCTAGAAAGGAGGAGTTGCAGAATTGGAGAAAACAGTAGGGATGTTAATATCCTAATTTGGCGTCATGAAAAATACAGATATACTGTTCGAAGGTGATAGAATGAGAAGTGTGCGATTTATCTTTTATCCATCAGACTGGTAAGGGAGTAGCTATATAAATATCTCAATTGATTTATCAATAGCAATAACACATTATAATAGATGGATATAGTTGTCTTTGATGAGTAGAACTGGGAGCAGACAAAGATCTATTATCTTTGGACTCTGCCCTATTTATGTATTTTACCATATATTTACAGTACTTTGATGAAATTATAAAACATTAATATTAAATAAAAAATAAACTAATGATTTCAAAACCCAATCAATTATAGTTTCAAAATAGTGGAATACTCCTTACAGAAAACTAAAAACGAATACACAAACTCCATGTGAAGATGAGTCAGTTCTTGGGGTCACAGGGAATGACAAATCTCTGAGAAGATGGTAAGACAATTGGGCTTCCATATTTGAGGTGCCCCTTGACCCAATCTGCCTGGCACCACTAGTGCAGAAAGTCCCCCCCCTTCCAAATTCATGATTTTTACACAGGAAAAAATGAGATCAACATGGACAAATAGTTTTCCCTCTTGGGTTCCCAGGCAAGAGAACAGTCCCTACCTCAACCCATGGGAAGCATCAGGAGAGCCTGAGGTTAAAACATCCCTGAGGCACAGCATAAAGAAACAAAATCCAATCATGTGCTGCCTAGAAGAAATCTGATTTAAAAACGGACAAAAGATATGAATGGAGTACGTATTTCTCAAAAGCAGACATGCAAATAGCGACAAGTGTATGGAAAATGCTCAGTATCATTCATCTGAAAAATGCAAATCAAAACCACAATGAGGTATCATCTCACTCAAGTTAAAGTTGCTTTTATCAAAAAGATGGAAATAACAGCTGCCGATGAGGATGCAGAAAAGGGGGACTTCTCACACACTCATACGCTGTTGGTGGGAATGTAAATTACTATAGCCACTATGGAAGTTCCTGAAAAAAACTAAAAATATTAATATAAAATGATCCAACAATTCCTCTCTTGGGATTATAGCCAGAAGAAAGGAAATATAACGATTCGATATCTGCACTCCCATGTTTATTGCAGCACTATTTTTAATAGGGAAATAAGGAATTAGCCTAAATGCCCATCAGTGGGTGAATGGATAAAGAAAATGTGATATATACACACAATGGGATACTATTGAATTATAAAAAGAATAAAATACTAGGGTGGCGCCTGTGGCTCAAAGGAGTAGGGCACTGGCCCCATATGCCAGAGGT